TATATATATATATATATAATTAATAAATATCATTATCTCTATTAGCCAGAAAAAATGTCATTACAAAATATTATAGACTTTTTGAATTAATGGTCCGTTAAAAATTTTTTTTCTTTTATTTTTTTTCATTCATTATTTGAAATGTGAATGCACGTTCGTTCCATTTAAAATGAATATCAGAAAAATAAAGATGATTTAATCATCGAAGACTAACGGATTTTCTATTTGCGATAAGATAGAAGGAAGAATTGAAGGACTTTTTCGATAGTTAAAGAACGATTTAGGTAGAAATTGGATATTTCGGAATATAGTTTCGAAATCGTAAATCCTTCTATTGTGTGTTTGTATCCTCATATTTTATTATATGTTTTTATATGTTTTATGTGTTTATTATATTTTATTATATGTTATTTTTCCGCTTCGAACATGGGCGATTCCGGATTTCGAAGTATGGATATGGAGTACTCCATACACTGAATGATTCAATGTATGGAATTTCATATACTGAATTTCATATCTGTATATTTGGAGAGAAATTTAGAAATTAGAAATTATAATTTAGAAATTACAAACATACGAAAAATGCCACTGTATTGCTTGAAGGATGTAATGCAATTTTTACACGATAATCCCGAAATCAAAGATCTTGTATAAAATACGTAAAATTTATTCGCGTTCTTTTAACGATTCCTTGTTCATCAACTTGTTCGAATGAAAGATCGTTTTCTTATTTAAGACATTTATCTTCGATCGACAATGAAACAAAAACGTAAATCATATTGCGCCATTATACATTTATCGAGAAATAATCGATAAGTTAAATGTAGAGGAGGATTCATTAATAATTTTATTTAAAAAAATAAAATTAGAGCAGCTACTTTTGCCATGTAAAAAAGATATGTATGAGGAAATATATTTATCCCACCACTCTCCTCTTCTTTCCCTCAACTATCCACGAGAACTCCATACACTGAAAAATTTTACTTCGCCGCTCCTGGCCTCAAATGTTGCGATTCATGTCAGCCGCGCATGCACGAACATATCTATTTTATAAGAGCCAGTGGGTAAAGTGAGACTTGAGAGAAGATTAGTTAAAGGAATATAATTCTATTCGATCCTGAACTCAATCGCGAAATGGCATTTTCGAAAAGCGACACGCCATGGTGAGCCCAAAAAGAAACCCTAATATGAGTTCATTTAACGTTCACAAGCCAGCATTATTTTAACAATAGCATTATTTTAATAGCATTATTTTAATAAACAATAAGGATGAAACTATTCCATGAATATTGTAAGCGTCAAATGAAACGCACTCAAAGAGTCTGGCCATGATTTGTTAAAATCTTATGAGAGAAAAGTATATATTTCTTTCCTCTGTATATATTATTTCACTCTACTCATCATACCATCTCACTCTAAGATGCCTTCCATTTAAATAAGTCAACACAATAATATTATTCTGTCTTTGTTATTCATGGAATGCAAAGAAAAATAGAAACGATATTTGTGTCAATTTGATCACTATATCCATTTCTACTAACGTAGATGTATAATCTTAATCAAAGTTATAAAGTGAGACAAATATAAATTCAAGAGAAATAGTATAATTTATATATGTTTTTCTTTCTCTCAAATTTTTAACAAACTCTTAAACCCCTTTCATAAAGTATATATTGTACATAATATATCATTTATCCTTGTTTAACATTCAATGAATAAAATAATTTTTATTATGTATTTCATGAAACACAAATCAAAATCATCAGATTGTTATAAGGGTTGCTTTCTAGCAAGAGAATAAGACAGTGGACAAGTATAACACAGTAATACATCATTAATCTTTGCTATTTGTCAATGTTAAACAAAGATGAAATATGCCTCTTTCTGGAAAGCAGCAAGGGTCTCTAGATGAACTGAACGTGCCCAGGTATCCTACAGATTATATAAGTGCCCTACTGCTTGCCCAGTCCGGACGCAGGCAGATCAACGGAAGAACCGCTAAATCAGCAACACCAATGGGATCACGATGCTTTGCCGTTTCTTTCGAAATCTCATTTGTCTCGAATGAGTCATCTGGCCGTTGAGGGGAGAACGAGAGAGAGCTTGCTCGACGTACTAACGAGAGTCATTACGACGCGACGCGGCACAAGAGGCTTTGTTTACCGCAAGATAAGACCAACGATGACATTGGAGAGGGATGACATCAGGGATCTGAGCGATGTTATTCTGCAGGATAATTCGGACACCGAGACGCAGGTAAGATTGTAGGTAGAGCTCCGGATACCGAGATATACATATTTCGTTCCATTTAACCTTCCAAATGATCTTTATCAAGATCACATAGTTTTACTTTAGACAACAGCTTGACCTTCGAGATAAAAATAAATTTACAGAAATGAATTCTCTCTGTAAATCCAAAGTTTTTCAGAGAGAAAAATGTACTGGATTGTTTGTTATTACATTCCAATCTCTCTTCCAATAATCTCTAATCTCTACAAATTTATTGGATATTTTCTATACTAAAGCTTCAGATTAAGTACTGAAGAGTTTTTTAGAATTAGATTTTTTTTTTAATAATAGCAATAGATTCATCTTGAATCTCGATTCATGTTTTTTTTAATTTTATTAATTTTTAAATTACTAATAAATATTAATTATTGACATCCTTCAGAAGAATTTCTATGTTTTGATATAAATTTAACAAATTTAACTGAACTTAATTTTATTAAATATTAATTTTTAGTGCAAACGTAAATTGAGTAAAAAGCCAAAGAGAATATTGCAGTTTTCGGATGGAGTAATGGAGGAATATTCGTCAGAAGATGAAATTGACGCGCCAAAAAATAAAATTGTGTCACAGATAGATACTGTAAATATATAATCATATTAATTAAAAATTATGTATGTACAATATTATATACTTATTATTCAATGAAAAGATAAAATTTTATATTTTGTAGAAAAATATGAATTGGTTACCATGGGCATGGTACCAAACCACATGGTTGAGCTCTAAAATGTTGGACGGTTGTGATTACGTTGGCGAATGCTTGGCCAATTTCTTTGGCATAACAGCACCCAAGTATCAATTCGAGATCAATGAGTTTTATAGGCTGCAAGCACTCGAAAAAGAAATATCCCATAAACAAGATTTGGAGATGGGTGGATGGAACGAACAAAATAGGAATAATCTCATAAATAGCGATACTATATTAACAAATGAATGTAAGTAATGGCGTAAAGTGTGGAGATTTAATACTGATGAAACATGTGTGTGTGTACATATAACAAATTCTCTATTTTACAATCCATTTAAAATATCGCCCATACATATCTTTAATTGAGAGATTTTCTACTCAATTCCAAATTCATTAGCAAATTTACGAATAGAAATAATAAATGCTTGAATGATTTTTCAACTATTTTTCTATGCAATATTAAAGTTTTTTAAAATATATAAAATAATGAATATATGAAAAAAGAAAATATGTAATGTAAGACAAATTAAAAATTAAAAATTATTGCGATATCTGACAATTGAAAAGCATTTAGATAAAGTATTTAGATAAAAATCCTGCAAAACTTCCTGTTTAAGTCACTTTAAATGACGATTATATGTATAAAAATTGTATATATATGAAAAGTTTTAGTATTATTCTTCATAATAATTAATTGTTACAATAGATCGATATAATTTGTGTATATGACCTATATATATTATTTATAAGATACATTATAGTTATATTAAATCTGTTAGTAATATAAAAAAATATGTTACCTTATTGCGAAAGAGAATTTTTTAAACTCTGCATTTGCACATACGTCCATATGAAAATAAATAATTCAAACACTACTCGCTGTTACTTATGTCAATCGTGATTCACTGAATTATTATGCAATTAACAACGACAATAAAAATAATTAATAAATGTCTTTATATTTAATAAAACAAACATTCTTTTTATATCAAAACTTCTTAGCATAAAATTATATTCTTTCTTAATAAAATATTATTTTTCAAAAGTATCTTGAGAATAAATTTGCTAATATTAAGAAACAATATAGCATAGCAAGCATATAATAGTAGTGTAATAGTAATAATAATATATAAGGATAAAAATACATATTGCTTTCAATAGTTTTTCCTCAAATATATCTTGAAATCCTGTATGTGTTTCATTTGCCGCGTATATCGTATTTGCACACTGCAGTCGATTAAAATCTCGAACAACACAAAAGTTCGAGAGAGATGTCCTGTAAAAGTCTTTTAGACATTTGCGCTTTGTAGATTGCTCAGTATAAACTAAATATTTTGTATGCTTAAAAAGAGAAAAAAACTTATGTCGCCGGCACAAACCTATGCAGCGCACTAGTTAAAACTAGCAATGAATCCTGGAGACCCTGTGGAAAATGTCTTTGCAACCAGGAGCCTTTATACTGTTCTATATGAGCCAACATTTTGTTTGCTATATCGGTCCTGAAAGTAGGCGGCAGATTACATACTCCTAAATTAATAACAGCAAGTCCCATGTTGCTGTTTGGATTCACACCAACTCCAATCAATGTTCTACCAATTTTACAAGCCGTCAGCATTAGATCAGATGTCAATTGTAATTCCTGTATTTCCATAGACGCAAACTTCGAGGATAAATTTGCCTCATATAAGGAATGTGATATTCGCTTAATCTGCTTCGTCATTTTCTATGAATAATAGCGAATTAATTTGAAATACCTGAATATTTTATCTTGCTATTCATCCTTAAAATATATTTCGCGCATTAAACGAACATACAAAAGCGTACTTACAGCGAATAGATCGGCCGAAAGATACTCCAAATTAACATTATCTGGATCAGTCAATAGTCTATATAATGTAGAACCGCGATTATCTGGTATTTGCTGCAGATCTTTGACTGCTTGATTTTTACTTAATGTTAGTACCAATGTGTCCAAACGTCCCAATTCCAATAACGCGTTACCGATTTTATATTCTGAATCTTGAAATACGTGTATATCCAATAGTTTTGTGATATATCTTTCTCTACAAAACGAAACAATTTTATAAAATATGAGTGTGAATATATCATAGATTACAAATCTTGTAACAGTTACCTAACTGATACAGACAACTCAGGAATGTCGTAATTATCATCAGGTCCTAAATCTATTTCCGTTGTTGAGTTCCAAGCTAAACCAGCCGCTATTAAATAACCGATCCACGCGAAAGGATGCGGGGTAAGATGATGACTTCCCGACCAATGTGCGACAACAACACCGATCGAATTTTGCTCCAAAGAGGTTTTTATCGCGTTTCTTGTGTTAGCATATGTTGATGCTGGACATCCGGCCAAACTATTGTAACTAGCTGTGCCAGAACTTGGTAATACATTACCACCACCTAGTCTAAATGGCTCCGTCCATTCGGAGAAATCATAATCAGCCTGTAATTCGGATATTTATAATAAATTTTACTTCAATAATTGCGAATATATCATACAAAATTGAAGAAAGAAATTTAATTCTCACCTGAAATCCGTATTCGACAAATATGATATTAGTAGGAATATTGTGAAACTCGGATTTGGAATGTAAACTGTTGGAACATAAAAGTAGAGTCGTGTTCGAGCTCAAATTGAGGATATGCCAGAGTTCTTGAAGGCATGAATAAGACTTGAATACTTCTGACATGTCTGTTTCAAGCGTATCGTTGACGGACACACTCAAATCAAAGCTATCAACTTGCACTAATAAAGTGGTTAATCGAGGGCCTACGTGAACATAATTTAAGCTAGGAAATACTGCGAGCAAGTCTTGAAAGATAGGCCACATTTGCATCAGATGATGTTGGCTGACATTAGAATCGACGTCCAACGTTGGAACTATGTCCAAATGACGATCTCTGAAAAAGTTAATTTCCAAATTACATAACATAAAAACTTCTCCATTTAAAATATAAATTATATAATAAATATGTAAAAAGAATGAAGATATAAATAATACAGTTCATAAAAAATCAGAAATATCTTATTTAAAAAGTGGATTCTTATAATTATATAAATATATAATTTGTACCTGCAATATCTGTCTAGAGTTACCATCTCGGACTTGGAATAACAAAGCTGCCAATCGCAATTTTGAACGAGCCTGGAGTAGAGGTGCAAATGCGAGATCTTAAACGATGAGAGTAGATCAATAATATGTAAAAGATATTCCAAGGTCGGTACGCGTCCTCTAGGCGAGATGTCCAATAGTATACCACGATGTATGAATCTCGGCTCGTCTTTGATGAAGACGGGCTCTATCTCGCACACTTCCGACCTACTCTGATTCTTACTCAGACGCAGAATTTGCACGAATGTGCAGACTGCATAATGCAGCCCCGCTAGACTTCCAGCGCTTACTTTTATGGAGTTATGCGTAATATGCAATTGATAGCTATCCGCAATGTTAAATAGATTCCTATTCACGATGCATTCAATCGTATTATCATTGAGCAACTTGCCGCAACTAGGTTGCACTTCGCCGATTTTTACATCATGACCCAATTCCAGCAGATGAGTTCTGCTTATCTCCCACACATCCAGTATTTTATGTACAGATTCACTGCCCTATAAAAATAATTTGGAACCACAATGAGAATTTATATGTAAAATTGAGAGAATTCCTTCTCAACAGAAATATGATTCAAAAGATTTTCTATATGTTTGAAAAACATTAATATACATATGTATATCTAAATTACCTGTATTATTGATATAAGAAGCTCTTTTCCAGCGATAAATGGGGCCGTAAAATTTTTTAGTTCATTTATAGTCTTTGGTTGTGGCCACAACAAGTTATAAATACTTCCTTTATCAATAATAGATTTACTAGGACTCTCTTTGCCTGCATCACGCGAATCACGCGAAGGCACATCGTACGCCGGATCCGATTTGTTAGATTCGACCGACAGTTGGCTCATATTGCACGTGAGACCCTTCTGACAATAGCTTGTATCTGGATACGACATAGTCGCACTGTGTATTGTTTCGTTCTCGTTCAGCATGAAATTTGATATAAATCTTTGAAGGAAACAATGCAGAGATTGTTTCTTTCTAGACAATTCGTACGGCGTTTTCCCTGCAAATGTTCTGAAAAAAAAAAAAAAAAATGTTTACACACGCAAGAACAATATATTCAATTAATCATTTACCCTTTGGTAGCTCGTACAAGAGGATTTGCACCAGCCTGCAATAGTTCTTGACAAATAGCAATGTCACCACGATTTACTGCATCATGTAATGGTGTAGCGCCACAACCATTTTCAGCGTTTACATCGGCTCCTTTATCTACATGGAAAAGTAATATAAACATTATTTTCAGATGATTTCTGATTATAAATTTTGTGTTGCTGAACTGGAATGTATTATAGCTTTCTTTTTTCTAAATATCAAATATATATCTATTTAATTTAAAGTGCAAACACTCTATGTATACATTACCAAGTAAACACGCGATAATGTGTTTGTTTCCATAACATGCTGCCCAATGTAATGGTGTGTTCTTACTGCCCTGTGAGTCCCACGAATTAACGTCCAATCCTGCATCCAATAACTGCATTACTCTGTCTACTCTGTAAAAAAATATGTGTCAATTGTTCTATGATGCTAATTGATATGTTTAAAGTGATGATTATATTCCATAATTAAAAAAAGAAAGCATAAAGTTGAATGTTGATATTTATGTACTCAGAAGCAGCTGTTGCTCTCAACATTTCCTCTATATAGATACGTCGTATTGCATCACTCGAGGCAACATCTACCGCATTATGTCCATCAGCATTTTGCACAGCTGGATCAGCACCACAATTCAGAAGAGTTCTCACAATGTCCACTTGATTGGTCTTAAATATAAACAGCATAAATAGAAACATTTATCAATAATCCAAATAGAAACATTTAAAAACAATGAAAATTGCAATAACAATAATGGATAAAACATGTCTGGCAAAGAACTTCATGGACCTTTGAGGCATATAACAAGAAAGTTCCTTCTTCCAAAACTGGTTGATTCAATATCTTGTCTCTCGTGATACCCTCTGTGGCATTACCGTTCTCACCTGTGGCAGGAGAAGGCCGACAATGTAAACAACAAAAAAACAAAGAAAAAACGTTCTTATCCAGTCTACTTAATTTATTATTCTTTAATACATGAGAAGTTCTCCCAAGATTTGAAATGAGGAAAGAAAGGATACGTACACGCATCCAGGAGTGACCTGATAATGTCAGTACGTCCGTGTTCAATCGCTGTGCGAATATTATCACAGATGCCTTGCATCTCTGTTCTGGTTCAGCTTGCAGCTCGGAGTGAGATGAGTCAGACCGGCGTGTCGCCAGGCATCATCGGGCTGTCATTCCGTTATCAACTGTTAGAAAAACTCGCGCCGGTCGTATTGCCAATCTCCCGCGGCTCCTGCACGATATAGCAGTCGCAGAGTTGCCAGATCTCTTTTTCTTCTTCTCTTATTTTGCCAAGTCTCCTGCCATTTCACAGATGTCAGAGAGAAACCTGAAAGCGATAATCGAACTTTTTTCGTGAAAAAAAAACACCAGAAAAAACTCTGTATTACACTAGCGGCACCAACATCTATTTCATAAAATGAATATGAATCTTCATATTTTCGATAAACTGCTGATAAAAGTAGTTTATAAGTCAATTCTAAGCAGAATCGTAAACTCATAACGTAAAACTTGTTAGAACTTACGAATAGTTTCCTAATTTTATGCACATCGTAAAACGTACGATTATTCAAAAATATCTACGATTTTTTGTTAATTTTATGACTAGTAAGAAGCTATTTGTAAAAATATTGTATAAGGATATAAGCATAAAAATTCTTACAAAAATATGTTATGAGCCTTGCGATTCTGCTTAGAATTTAGGCTTTAGACTTTAGAAAATGAATGTGATCGTGTCCGTCTGCAAAAGATCTGTTCGCGTTGCGTGTTCCAACATGAGTAGGAGCATATTGGAATACGACGCGAACAGACCTAATAAGAGCTATCAGGATTGGCTATTTGTGGACAAAATGAGAGAGAATTCGGTCGTGATTATTTACTAAAAATTTATTCACTAAAAAAAAAAAAAAGATCTGTTCTCTTTCCACCCCAAATTCTGAATTGGTAAAATGAGACAGGTATAGTTTGTTTATAATTCTTCGAAAAAGAACAGACTTTAAGTGTTGAGCATGAAAAGGCATCTTCAGCGTCACTGCATGTCATTGTATTGTTCTTGGTGTTGGTCAGTGTTGGTGCTGCATCGGTAACCTTAGATTTCAAGTATCTTTTGTCAACAACTTTGTATGTCTCGTTGCAAGTTATTCTCAATTTCAATCAATTTCGATGTATGAAACGAATAAAAGAGAGAGTACCTTCGTAGAGATTTATGAGCTCTGAGAGTCGAGAAGAAGCCGAGAAATTGAAAATTAAATGTCAGAGAGATCGTACTGAAAGTCTAGTTGATCCTCTGATTCGAATTGATTCATTCAATTATGATAGCCATGGATTTGTTGTTCGGAATACAAATAAATTCTGAGATTGTCATGCCGATTACATTGAGTGGCGTGAACCTGAAGACGAAAGTAGAAACGCTGAAGCAAGAAGCCGCGAAAAGGTGGAATCTGCCCAAGGATTCATTTGGTAAAAGTGACTTTACATTATTTGGAGATTCACGATTGGTCACGATTATCTTTGTACTCTTTTGTTATTCAATCCTATAAAATTTAACATCAGATGTTCTTTGATTTCTTATATATTTGAAATATACATTGAGACATTTAGACTGTCAAAAATCTTTATCAGATTAGTTTTATTTTAAAATAGTCTTGTTTTCATTTTTTAGTGGATTAGCCTTATTTTTTATCTTAAAAAAAATTTCAATTCTAATTAAAAAAAAAATATGATTATAAGCTTTTTGAAATAATTCCTTGTAGAATAAATTCAATTTTAATATAAACATAATACTAATGATTATCTCTCTTTTTCTTTAGAATTTATTTATTATGGGCTTATACTTGAGGATGATGCAACAGTGGAATCTATTGGATTGAAGAATGGATCAATGGTGCATGCATTAAAGAAAAAAGAATCAGAGTCATCAATATTGAATAAACATATATCAGAAGATTGCATATTACAATTGGCATCTGCATTTAAATCTTTCAATGAGACCCCTGCATTTAGAAATGCTTTGCATGTAAATATTCTTTAAATAATGTTTATGCTGTGTTATACACTTTTATATCCTATACAACACATAATATAACTTTAATTATAATTGTCAAGTATTATTATAGAAAATCTATATAAATATTGTGATATGTTTCAGCGTTTAAGCAAAAGACCAGAGGTGATAGATAATATTATTTCATCCTCTCCTGGATTGCACGAAGATGCAGTCGCCATTGCCATGTTGCAGGATCCTGAATTAATGGCGCATTTCATAGATGTTGATACTGTTAGAAGGTGATTAGATGTATGATCTCCTAAATGTATATTATCTCAGAAATATTATGCAAATAGTATATTTTGTAAAACAATATATTTTTATTTTATATGTTTTTAATATGAACATGGATTTAAAGATTTTTTTTTTATTGTCTCACATTTAGAATAGCACAGTTGCATCCAGTGTTAATTGAGGCAGCACAGAACATCGCAGCAGCCGTGCACGAGGAAGCGCACAACGCGGCCTCCAGCGGCTCCTCCAGCAGTTCAGTGACCAGTTCACAGCCTACTACTGCACGTTCCTATAGCGTGGATAGCATGAGCCTTGAGGAGGAAATGGCGCGCGATATTGCCCACTTTTTCGCCACGCAGCCTATAAATGACAGTAATCTACGTTTTCCTAATGTGTCGCCGGCTACGAATTCGCAGGCATCGCAGCGACTGGATAATTTGCCATCCTCCACATCCGACGGTGTCAATCAACCTGCAACTGACAATCAGAGCACCGGCGTGATCACGCCACAAATGTTCATGGAAGCTATGAGACAAGCCGCATTGGCGACCAATTCAAATCCGCAGCAGCCAGTCGCGTCACCGGCGACCTCCTTGTCGCCAGTATTACCGCTATTCTCACCACCAATTAATGATCTACAGCGGCAGTTGGCACAGATGCATGAGATGGGTCTTCAAGACGACACGATAAATGTTCAGGCATTGCAGTTTACCAATGGTGACGTGCAAGCAGCCATCGAACTTGTGTTTAGTGGTTTCTATGATAATTAATGGATTAGAAACGATGAGACGAGGTAATATAAGTGATTGCAGTATTTGTACAAATGTTTCAGAAAATAGTGTTTTCCAGATGAGTCAGCCTGAATATCCACGACACATGTTCTCAATTTGTAACATACGTTGATGCTGAGTATTACTGAGTCATACAGAATGTGTTCAAGATGTGAAATTTACTGTTTGAGGGGGACTTTTTTTATATGATTTTTGAGGTGCATTGTTTACATTAAAATAGCAAAATCTGCGAAACTTCGTTTCAAGAGTTATAAAGACTATTATTCTAATTTATTAGAATGCAGTACAATGTACTTTGTTATTAACATCTATGCAAAAAAAAATATATATATATATATATATATAAAAAAAATAGACGTTATGTATATATTAAGAAAACTGTATTTAGTGAAATGCTACACTTGCTAAATATATATAATGTATGAATTTTTATATCTCTGACAATTTTACATTTATGATGATTGCTCAAACAAAAACATGACTTTTATTTCTTCTATGTAACGTTCTTGTGCCGTTATAATATGAATGAAGTAAAACGTTCGGACATATCACATATGTTGTAGTTATCTACAAATTTTTTAACCTTTTTAATTACTGATACATGGAACTGTTATCTCGTCTTTTTCACGCGCCTGTATATAGATAATCGATTTTATATAGCATAATAAATTATACGAAGTTCGGGAGTTCAATCAAAGTTAACATACTTCATTAAAAATCAATGCAAATATATATGCATATATACATGTATAACTGATTAGATTTCTTTCTTTCTTCCTCTCTCTCTCTCTCTCTCTCTCTCTCTCTCTCTCTCTCTCTCTGTCTTTTTCTATAACATTAATGTTGTAACCACTTTTTTATAGCATTGGATCAATTAAAGTTTTTGTCAAACAACTGTATTTGCACATACATGTATGTGCAATATATGAGAAAATTTCGCTTCACAGAATTGCAACTTAAGATTTAAAATTGTGATAAAAACTTTTGTTTTTTCAGCACATGCGAGCCATGGAATGACGCTTTAAAATGTATCAATACCGAATGCTCAGATTAAATGCGTCACATGTCGGCAGTGGTGTAGCACGATTAACGCGAAATCGAATGCGTCGCGAAAAAACTTACATACAATCACGCGTGTCATCTTTAAGTATCCAATCATCGTTTGAGAATCTTTAGAATCTTAAGTGACGTTATACGTGAGATCAAATTAAGATTAATCTGATTAATTAGATGAGATCTAAGAACAATTAAATCTCGAGAAATGTAATTCTAAAATTGTGAAACCGATAATAGTTTTCTAAAATATT